TTAAATTAATGTCTTTCTACCGTTGTTGTGGATATAATTGCACACTCAGTATTTTTATATTAATCGTGTTATGTCATGATTTAAAGTGCTATGGAAATCATGTATATCTAAATTCCAAGCCCGCAAAGCTCAGCCACTACTAACTGGTTTATTCGTTGCGCTACGCATATATATAAATAAGGATATAGAATTCAGCTCAATCCAGAGAAGTGAACACATCAGTATGTCAGAAAATCTTAGCACCAGTAATTGGTAGTTTCTATTTTATTGCGTCAAATTATTTTGTATCTTTTCCTATATATATGTATTTTTTCTTTTTTTGTATCTTTTCTTATTTGAAACGAAACTTTATCTTTTACCTAATGGAACCCATAGTTATTTACCTTGTCTCAAACATACAAGGAGTTAAGTTGACAATTGTTTGAATTTTTCTGTTGAGAAGGGTTTAAGTTTATTTATTTATTTTTTTATTTAGGAAAAATCAGAATTTCATTTAATTCTTTCAATTAGTAATTTAATTTATTAATATTCTGTTACCTGAATTTTTACGTTTTGGAAAAACCAATGCTTCAATGATATTTTTCTTTTTATTAAATTTGACCGGGAAAGCTTCGTATTTTTGTGAAAGATTCAGGGAAGGACAGTATTTCTGCTGCGTCACTCTTTCGATTTTTCTAGTATATTTGTTAGTCTCGTTTGCTAGTGTTATGTCGCGAATGTCAATTATTAATATGTGTTTCAAGTCATTATTATTCTAATATATTATTTGTATTCATGTGTATTTTAATCTGGAAAAAAGTATTCTTAAGCTCTTAAGGTTTTATTTAACTCGTTATTCTTGAGTAGGAATTGTAACAAAGGCGGGAGACGGTTGCAAGGAAACACATTTGGTTTATTGGGTTATAGCCTTTTTACTAACAGTGGAGGCAGTAGGGAGTTGTGTTGTCGCCTTTTAACGAAAAGGCGTTTGAAACGGAAATTGTCCCCCTGTCGCTTTGTTAACGTTGCAGTTTGACTTACTTCAAGACAGTGGGGGTATAGGTAATTGGATTCTCGTAAAGCTTAGTTTCGCTTGTTAGTTGGGGGTCCATTTTTTTTTCTCACGTTGTGTGTACAGATGTTTTTCGGACTGCATTGTCAGATTTTCTGGTGTTTGATTCGTCATGGGTGTGTCATTTTCTCAATTTAGATAACGTAAAATTCCGGCATTGGTAAGATTTAATTTGATGATTTTTTGAAAGCTTATGAACTCACAGAGGCGGAGAAACCGAGATTTCCTGGGTGCTTGCACCAGGCTAGAGATTATTCTGATTCTGATTAGTAAGTAAGAGTAAGAGGAGAAAAAGTGGGGGCTTGACTCTTCGGGTCTTGCTCTCGCTAGCTGCGTGAACCAGCCGGCAGCGGGTATGATTTTCTCTAGGCGTTTAGCTGGCGAGAATTTGCGTTGGCATAAGGCGTAGAGCTCAGCAGAAAATTTCGATTCTCTTGTTCCAAGAATTGTACTGCAGATTCTCTTGGTGATCCTGATATCCTGATGCGGTATTCCTGTTTTTACCGACTTTGACTTACTAATCAGATTTTGTTCCAAAGGTGCTCTACGTTTTTTCGTGCGAAAGAGACTCGTTTAGGATCCGTTTTAAGTGTGCGATGCTGTTTATTCTGCCTGTGTCAGCTGCGTCGATTTTGTCATCCTTTCGTGCTCTGGAATTTATTTATTTTAAGGACAGCTTCAGTGGTGTTTCAACCAAGTCATCTTTAAAATTCGCAAGAAATGTCTATCTCCATTAACGAGGATTTTGTGAATAAAGGACAGCAGGAATAATGTGGCGCTCGAGTAAACTTTGGACGCTGGACGATCTGTGGAGCTGTCAAATCACCTTATTAATCAGTATACGAAGGTATTCCCGATTATTGAAAGTTTGCGGTATGGACTTCACCCCCTGAGTGATTTTTTTTATTTGTTTTACTTTAATAATTATCTTAATACTCAAGCAAGAGTCGTCATTTTAATGTTTGTTGAAATCTGAGCAATTACTTAAATTAATTAATCGATGTGAAAATTATCAGTGTTCTTAAAGTGAATTACCATGATAAATACTTACAGTTAGAAGATGAAATGGGAGAAAATATTAGTGTTACACTTATGATACAGTAGAATTTGATAATGTTAATCTTAATTAATGTAAGCTGTGATTTGGTGTAGTATTATGTGTTATTTTGTTTAGAAAAATATGTGGTAGGATTACTGATCAGTTATCCATTATTTAATTATATAAAATAATCAAGAATTTAATAAATGTGTGTTTAAAATTTAATTGTCTTTGTGTATTTATCTTGTAATATACTGTGGTCTGTCATGTCCCTCCATTTGTTTGAGCCGAGAGGCTTTTAAGAAACATGGAGTTTAACTGAATTTGGGGTTATTCATTTTTCCTTTGCATAGGTTACTCACAACGCGAACCTAAAAGTTAAATTGTACTATACCACTATACGATTAATTGATTTATAGATATGATATAAGATTTTTTATTTGATTGATCTTTTGATTATTATGAATTAGATTTGTTTTAATGTTTATAAGAATTTCGATGTTCATATGAATGTTTTGAATTATTTTGATTTTTAGTTAATTTGTCCGGCACCAGAAGTTGAGTTAAGTTTTAAGTTTTAAAATGTATATTAAAATCCCAAATTTTCAGATACATAACACTAGGAGGTGAATTGGAGTACGTGACGAGGGTCAAGGGTGTCAATTGTCTTACGAGTAAAGGTCAAGAGGTTGGAGAAAGAGGGGGGTCCACTTTGGCTCCTGGTCTTAGCTGGTTGCGCTTGCGCAGATGGGCTTTTTTGTGCAATTTGGTGAAAAGGTGGAAGATTGGTCCTTAAGGAGGGCGATGCTTGAAAGTTATGGTGGCGGGAATTTTGAATGATTTGAGAGGATCTCTATACTCCGTACTTCACGTTTGTCTTACCTGTCGTCAGGCTAGTATCGAGTTCTTTTGATTCATCGGTGCTTTTAGAGTTTTGCCTTATTCGGAATAACCTAGGACTGGAGTTTTTATGTTTCACCGAGAGTTTTTTATCCTGCCTCATCCAGTTCGCAATATGAGGTTACGACCCTAAAACTTGGCTTTGTTATTTCAATGTATCTCTTTGACTGAAATAAAGTTCTATTCCTCCTGTGTAACCCTGAATAAGCAGAATGGGAGGGTATATTCTTTCCGGACGGTATCCGTGATGCTACAGTACGGACTATTGGTGGCATATGAATGGAACTGACTGGAGATGAGTAGATGTGGATTTCTGATGTTGCGCATATGTGCTTGAAATATTCTCAAGCTTCTTCCGCTTCTTCAACGACGAAGCGTTCGATGAATAAGGGCAGTTTTACTTCAGGTTTTGGCCAGGGACTTTGCTACCGCTCAGTATAGATGAATTTTAGTTTTCCATTGACTATTTTCGTATCTCCGCTTACGACGTTCGACGTTTCCAATTCCAGTGAAGGAGCTCAGTTCCTCTTCAAAATTGTCTCCAGCCAGATATGTTTTGTTTTTTTTCTCTTTATTCATACTTAGAAATTAAGAAGTATCCTAGTAGCATGTCACTAGCTTTATAATGAAGCGTAATTTGAAAATAATCCACAAAAACTGGAACTCTACTGGCCAGCAGAAGTTGCTTATTAACTGTTTTTCTCTATTCTCTCCTTGCCTGATATTAATTAAAAATGTGATTTGGCTGAAAGTTCTGTATTTATGTTAGACCAATTTTTTTCGCAATCTATTAAAAATATGTAACCAAGAAAAAAATGTATTTTGTTAGAAATCTAGCTAGCCCACGTAGTCGATGAATAAACAAAATTTGTGTGGGGTACACTTGTCTGTAATATCCTATGGTAAGAGTGTTGCTTTTAACAGATTTTTATTCACTACTCATAACTTAATTTGTGTTAGCAGAAATTCAATTATAATTAGGCACATAATTGAATAATAATTAGAAAACTCAATAGAAGCAGAAGTTGAATGATACTTAGAAAATAATTATAAAATTTAGAAAGTAATTTTAATTAAGAATAATAGCCATGAACTTTAAATACTTATTGCTGAGATGGATAGGCTTTATGGATAAGAGAGAAGGTAATAATTTTACTATCTCTTAGCTTCTAGACAGGAAATAAATTTGCTAATTTAGGGTTAATATGTATTGTGTTTCTCTTGTGTATTCTTATTGTCATTAACCTGATCATTTTTCATGAGCACGATTCCGGAGCATTAATTAAACACAACGCAAAAGTTCACTCTTACGAAATTACGATCACAAAAATGTTAATTTAGTTTATAAATAATTTGTATGCTTACTTTAGGCATTGTTTAAGCTGAGTCTTTGATTACGTTATCTGGAAAAACTCACGATATTACCTTTCGGTATTATTCGTATTATATTTATTCAATTATCTAATTAGTTTGGACTCAGGCAGTTTAGTGTTGTGTCTGGAAAGGCACAACATTCCAATGGTGCCGTGGCCATTTTGATATTTCGTTGGAGGTTGAAAATATTATTTTAGTTTGGTTGGTTTTACCAGTTAATCTTGTGGTCCAAAAACCCCAACATTATCTTCGCAAATTTCACAGCAAAAATTATTTTACCTACGTAGACGGTTATAACAATTCGTATAGAAAATAACCAAAAGTGAATTTTAATCATTGATATTTTGAATGATTTTCAAAATATAATAGACTTTTTATTGACTAATTTTTCTACCTAAACCATTTTTTCACTGACAATTGTTTCATGTGGAGTTCATATAATATCTTGAGCAGCATGCATTTCAACAAAATCCTGCATTATTTGATTCATTTCTTAAATTGAAAAAAATGGATATATCTGAAGCATTAAAAAAATATTTAATAGTGCAGTTTTTTTAATTATGCAACGTATGTAGTTAATTTATGAACAGCGTTTTCCGACATTCATTATTAAAAAGTAGTATGTTTTTTTTGTAGGTGGTCGCTATAGCGTGCTGCCGACAGGTCAGTTGTACATTCGAGCGGTAACTCAAGCGGATGGGCAGACAAGTTACAGCTGCCAGACACGACATCGGTTGACTGGAGAAATAACAGTCAGTGCTTCAGCTGGCAGACTCTTTGTTACAGGTATGCTTCCCCTTTTATTTCCTTGTTTCACGAAACTTAGAGAATCTCTAATTAGTGAAACTTCTTTCCTTCAGAATATACTAATATCCTAAAAGAAAGAATTTGTTTAGTATTAAAAGTTATTTTTCAACTATATTATTTCTAAAATGCCAAAATCTAAACTTGAAAAAGTGGGTTTAACCTTTTTTGTCTTCCACATTAATTGCTCACTTTCATACTATTAAATTTAGTTATAAGTCTCATTTAGTATCAAATAAAATGTCCCAATCTCAAACAATTCCCATTTTATTAAAATTATGTTTTTTCTGTTTTTTACAATTTTTAATGAAGGTGTTTTCACTTTTTATGTATTTTTGCTTTGCCGCGAAGTGAGAACTGAACTGACTGATGAGACATATATCTCTAATGAAATTCGGGGAAGTAAGTTTTAACAAAATGAAGCAAAAATATGTATAATTCATGGCTATACAAGGAAGTTATGCTATGTGTACAACAGATTTTTTATTGTAATCATGAATAAGAAGTGTTGTGCAATGCAGTACTCTTATGGTATTTTCAGTTTTATATTCTCGTAGTTCTTTTACAGTAAGAGTAAAAATTTATAACAAAAGCGTAAAAACAGCCGTTCTTTCAGCCTGCAGATGTGTAGTGTTACAGTTCTGATTATTAGTATTATGAAATTTCATAGGTTTATCCTATACTTTGATTTGAGTTAGCCATTCCTAATCTACTGTCAATTGCTGACACATCTTGATTTTAAAACTCTGATCTTATGGTGAAAGGACTGTGGTGAATTTTTAACTATAATTATATTAATACTCATATATTTAGTTCGAAATCTATTCATGGTATATTCCTTTGCATTTTCATGACACGATTTGAATGTAAACAATTTATAAGAAATCCCTGTTGTGTGGTCTTGGACTGTAATTCGTAGCACATCTGGTTAGATATTGGAAAATTTGAAGTTCGGATCCTGACTACAGCGTAGCTGACTTTTTGATGTCTCCTATTTCAAAAAATATATACGCTCTACTCGATCAATATGTAACTTTTGTAATGTGAAATTATTTATTCTGTATAACGATTAAAAAAGCTATCTTAATTGAATAGCAAGTTATACTTCACGCCTGATTAATTTGTTAATCCAAACCCAAGCTTAATTAAGATTAAATAAAGTTTTCTTTATCCAACCATGGTGTTTATGCAGATGATTGATCTGTGGTATACACAATATTACTAAATGAAGCAGCTTGCCTTGGTAGCTAAAATTGAAATTATTTTCACCAACATTCTCAGCTCAAAACTAAACCCTTGGACGGTTGGGTTTTTCTAAACTTTAAAAACATTTACCAACGGCAAAGCGACTAACTAAACTTTAGCCATTTGCAAGTAAAAGGGGAATTAATTCTTATTAATACTCAGCGGTGACATGGCGAAACTCCAAAGGGCTTAAATCAATATCAACTTTCTTCATTAAAAGCTTTGCACTTGAGAGGTGATTCTCACTCATGTGATCTGATGCCGCAACTCGAGAGATGAATCTCATTCACCATATTATTTGATGCCGCAACTCGAGATGTGACTCACACTCACCGTGTGATTTGATGCAGCAACTCGAGAGGTGAATCTCACTCGCCATGTAATTTGATACCGCAACTCGAGAGGTGACTCTCGCTCACCACTCAGTTTGATCCAGAAACTCGATGCGCGGCAATAGCTGTTCACGTTTAGTTCCTACGAAACGGGTTCCTACGCTCGTTCTGTATAATCTTATGAAGTGTAAAATGATGCCCCTTTAAATGGAAGTAAGATTTTCTCATATGAAATCTTATCTTTTCTTATCTATCACAAAGTCTGTTATCGGAGAAATGAACCCAGAAAAAGGTATCAAACGACATATTGTTCTAATACATGCCCCTACACGCCGAGCATGCATCTTGGGAATTGTTACATAAAATATCATACACAGAAAAATGACAGAGACTGATATTTAAGAAATGATGTTTATAAAGGTGTAAAGATATATCAAACGTTAACATCTAAAAATTTTATACATTAATTCGTGTGTGTAATGATTTTAAGTTACTGGTAAGAAATGCGTTAAAAAGGCCGCGAAACGGCTCGTTGCGCGTAAAAGGCCCCGAGTGCAAAGGGTTAAACTGTATTACGTGCTATTAAATTCCATAGCATTTTGATCTGAGCGAATATTGTGAAATGAGCAGGCAAGAACTGGATAGGGTTTAATTTAAATTTAACTACTAATAAAATTAACAATAATTGTCAAGAACATACACATCACATTAAAGACACGCCGGTCTGCTTCTATACTTATATTTCACTACATCATTCTATGAAACTCTGATTTACATATGTACGACGGTATAACTAATGCTCAATATCAAAGCATGTATTTAAATTTGAACGGATTCGCAATGTATTGGTTGGCGAAAACTCATAAAATTCTGACACAGAATAGCAAGCCGATCGGAGTGCACGTTTAACTTAAATACTATAACTGCGATGAATTTGAAAAGGCTTAGTTACTGAACAAGTTGAATAAACTGAAATATGGAATATTTGCCGGTTTATAATATTACATTGTTATAGTAAATACTTGTGTTGCAAAATTTGAATTTTGAAACTTCATTAATTAATTTCTCTTTTTTGCCACAGAACCCCACGGGAATTCATCCCCCAAAATTATAGATTTTCGCCAAATAGTGTCGGCGAATGAAGGAGAGTCTCTGGAAATGGCATGCGCGGCCACTGCCTACCCTCCACCCACATACAGGTAAGTCATCACTTAACCAACCAGGCGAAACTTTATTCGTAAATTAATTGTCTCTTCCCTTTCATGGAGGCAGTAATTAATTAGTATGGTTCGCTGAGATGCTGTTCAAAGCAATAGTATATATGTTCCAAAGTCTCGAACTCTAAAATGCATTTCATGACAGCGTGTAATTTGAATTCAATATAATTAGAGTTGCTTCTTCAAATCAAATAATAAACATATTTAATCAAGTGGTTTTCAATTAAGATACCTCATTCTCTTAGTACATACCCATATATTAGTCGAAAATTACTCAGTGATGGAAATACTTCAATTACATTTCTTAAAATTAATGATATGGGTTTCAAGAAGTTTTATTTTTATTTTTTGTGCTGAAAATTCATAAAGAATATTTAAAGTAACTCCGTTAATATGTTATTTTGTTTATTTTTTAAAACACTTCTAATTAATTTTTTCATAACACGTTTCGAATTCTGTTGGTTTGTTTTTCGCATATTTCACATTTAAACTCCATTAATGGACTGTATTTCAATTACAGCCTAGTTTTTAAAAGATAAAAATGAACTCTTAAATATTAAACATTCATTGGTGTCAGAAAAAAGGTAAGAAATTATTATCTAACGTACTTTTTTACGTTGAACGCGTACAAACTCCTCGTATACCAAAAGCATTTTGTTTAATATTGCATTTTCATAACAGCTTGTTTTATTTTTTAATTTTTTTACATTGCTTTTTTCATCTGATGATGGTTTGTTTTTAGTTTCCGATTTTTTAAATTTAAAATATTTTTATCACATTTTTTCACGTCATCATATTTTTGTTGCTACTTTTTTTTAACTTATTTCTTATTTTTTATTGATTATTCTAGGTCTTGGTGCCAAGTACAAAAATATACTACCCGTTTGGTATATGCAAACTGTTATCGATTAACTTCCATTACCCATAATATTGCAATGAGAGGAATTTTTTACAAGTATGGGGCAGTGGACACTGAATTTTCAGAGCAGGCCTTGCAATTAAAGGCATAAAATCTGAAGTGTTAAGGAGCACATCACAGAATATTTGGAGCAAATGTATAATAAAAATTGTACTGTAGCCTCATCATGCTGCAGTGGTTGCCAAGCGCATTAAGAGGATCCGTTGATGAATGCATTTGTCACCCTTTGCTTAGGACATTTCAGGATTGGGATAGAAAGTCCAAAATATAAATAAAGCTTTCGAAGTCGTCAGTACTTTCTGAGTAGGTTTTGGAGCTAAAACCTGACTCATATAAAACAGTTCGCGAACTAGTGAAAACTTTGTAGCGATACAAAACAACAATCGCAAGACGTCTGCAAATGTTTTGCTTCATCACAAAGTTCTTTAAATGAGCTCCACACTAGTAAGCAATGATATGAGATAATTTATACCGCCTACGTTTCTTTTTTTTCTTGGTATAGAACTGAACATACTATATATCAAAGTTATGCTGGACTTACGCATCATGATTATAATCATGGATGAGCGGAAAACTGATTTTTATGCATTTTAATTATGTAAGCATGATGTAAAGTATTTCTCATCCGTAATAAACATTGTAAGCGCATGTGTTTTCAAAACTGAAATAAATGCCGTCTTGTCTGCTAACTTTTCTCTTAGACGGATCTAAATAGTACTACGTAGAATCTACTAGGATGACTAAACGCTGAAAGGCTTACAGAGGGAGGGCAAAATTATGTTAACACCTGTGAAAAAGTATGACGTATTTCACACCTGCAACAGAAGTCTGCTATCTAGTGAGCGTGAAGAGGAAGGTATCAGTCTCTCAACAGCAGTCACCTGCGTTGTATGCTTTGATCGAACTGTCTGTGAGAAGTTGAAATGTCAGACCTGTCAGAGTTCCAAAGAGAAGTGATAATTGGAACGCATGTAAGTGGAGCATCGGTTACGGAAACAGAAACCTTGTGGAGTGTGCAAGGAGTGCGGTATCAGCCGTTATTACAGCGTACACGAAAGAGGGTAAGACGACGTTTTCAAAGCACAACATGGCTGAAAGTCAAAGCTGGCTGATAAGGATAGACGGGTCTTGAAGCGATAGTAGCCCGAAAGCTCAAGCAATCGTTATCCGAGATATTATCCGAAATGAAGAGTCATCTCCAGGACCACGTTTCAACAAAAACTGTCAAAAGGCAACTTCATACTGCAAACATTTATGGCAGAGTGGCAATTCGTAAACCCTTGGTAACAGCAACTAATGCTTTCAAGCGACGCCAATGGTGCAGAAATCACAAAGGCTGGCCCCCACAGCAGTGTCAACTGATAATATGGGCACATGAATCGTCATTCACCCTATTTCAGACGACCGGAAGCGTTTATGTCTGGAGATCTCCAGACATATTATCAGTTGACATATTATCAGTTGACACTGCTTTGGGGGCCAGCCTTTGTGATTTCTGCACCATTGGCGTCGCTTGAAAGCATTAGTTGCTGTTACCAAGGGTTCGGCCGCGACAATTCCCTATAACCGTTGCACCGAATTTCAAACCGCTCACACAGTACTTCTGATAATATGGTCAGATGAATCGTCATTCACCCTATTTCAGACGACCGGAAGCGTTTATGTCTGGAGAACGTCCGTAGAACCGTTTCATCCTGACTGCCTCTCTTACCGACTGTGAAGCATGGGGGTGACGCCATTATGGTATGGGTGCGATATCTTGGCGCGGTCTTGGGCCTCTTCTTATTCTGCATGGGAGGATCACATCCAATCACTATCTAAGCATTCTAGGGGATCATGTCCATTCTTTTTTCCAGAGTGTATTCCCTGGGGAACGACCGCTTTTTTAAAGACGACAACGCCCCTATCCACATTGCTATGTGTATTCAAGAATGGTTCGAAGAGCATGACGATGCACCTGAACAACTCGCTTGGCTCCCTCAGTCTCCAGACTTGAATATTATTGAACATTTATGGGCATATTTGGAGTCCAAACTTCGCTCCCGATTTCCACTTCCATCCGGACTTTCGGAATTAGAGACCGCTCTGCAGGAGGAATGGCTTAATATTCCTTTAAATATTGTCCATGAACTTTATGCATCTATCCCACATTGCATTCAATCTGTACTTCAGTCAAAGGGGGATTCAACTCCCTATTAATAAAGATTTTCCATTATTTCACAGATGTTCGTATTATTTTGTCCTCCGTCTGTATGTAGCTATCTTAACTGTAAATACTAATATGTGTTGCTAACACTCAGACCAAACTGGCATCTTAGTGGATGGCACTAATCAGTGGCAAAGAGGTTAACTTTAATAATGTCAAAAACCATGTGTGTTTAATTATTTGGAAAATATTTCTAGACTTTTGTTAGGAAGTAGTACATTATATGACGTATTTATCCAACCTACCACTTTTTGCAGTTATTAGAGCATATTTTTTTTCCAAATAGTGTTGGATGTTGTGATAGATGTGAAAATGGCATTACAAGCCTTCATGTATCCAAACCAATTTTATCGGCGCTGAATATGCCTTCATGGATACGACAACATATCAGTCATGCAGAATTATAGGCATTATATAAAATTTAGGTGCCTTTCTATTTTTGTTCTTTGCCTTCCACTTTCACCCAAAATACGAGTAGAACTTTTGTATGCACAAAGTGTATATATAATTGAATGATAAATATATATTCATCGGTTATATTATACGATACGTATACAATTATATAATACATTTATGTAATTTTTATATGCAATGTTATACTATACATATATAATAGTGTTTTAATTACACGTGTATTGGTAATTCACTAGAAAAAAATAGAGAAAAGGCTGACAACACATGAATGGGAAAATTACTAAAATTGCTGGTGAGAAATTCAGACAGAGTGCGTACTACATACATGCTTGTTTTGCGGAACGTGATCTTTTTAATTAGAATTTGTATGACCTAAATCGATCAAATGGCATATCATATTTCTATTAAGCAACTTTCCATTTTTATTTTACTTTTTAGCGTTATCAGAGATTTTTACCTTCATCAGATCAAGACTGTAAACAGAGAAAATTAAAATATACGCGAAGACAGAAGTTTCTCTCTTTTGTTAAACTATCATAATAGTAATAAATTATTTCAGGTTACTTAGATTTTGATCATAAACTAGGAATAGAGAAACCGATAAATTTCGAAATTCGAAAAATCGTATCATTGAACAATTTTCGTCTTTGGAATGTTTTGAATCCTAACCAAAAAACCGTTGCATGTTGGAACTCAAATCCTTAAAAGTCTTTATTTTCTTTAAACTAACATTTGTTAAGGAAGCATGTAAAATTTGCAGTTTCTATCGTACCACTATCATCAACATTAGCTTCTTAGCAATTCAAAGGACCATAGAACACGAATGACTTTATAAACTCTTAATATCAAGATGTTTTTGAAGATTTGTGTTCTAATTTTTATTTTATTAATTACTAAATTAGTGCTTCACTGAGTTAACAAATCCGCGCTTCTACAGTTGCTTTCATTAAAAATTAATCTGAAAATTGTAAAAATATGAAATACTAATTAAATATTGTGTTTTTTTTAATCATATGCACGAAATGAGAAACTCTTTCAATTAATTATTTCAATTAGCATTTTTGTGTATTTTGTTAATAAATCTAAGTGTATCTGAGAAATATTTTTAGATTTCTTTCACAAACTTCCTCACTTGGAAGGTTTGTGAGAATAAATAAAATTTTCTTTTTCTTTATTTTTTCTCTTTATGATTCTTATATTAAGGTTTCAATAGATTTGAGAATAATTCAAAATTCACTTTCGAGAAAATTTAGGATTCCTCCTAAGACTTTGAAAACCTTTTGACAGTGTTATGTAACATATATAAATATATTTTTTCCAATACCTAGTATGGAACTGCTGATTTATGTTAATAATATAATACTTAAAATATCATATTATTATCAGCATGCATAATTTGATGTTATACTCGAATATTACAAGATTCCTTGTTTATTTATAAGA